ACCCCCTTCGTCTTCTCTCCGCCACCTGGAGTTCCGCCTCGCCGTCGTCGAGCTCACCTCCTCAGGTTCCACGTGATGAATGCTATAATAGCCTACCTGCCTTCGGGTGATAAGAAAATAATCATTCCATCTGCCCACCGTTATTTCATTATCTCTCCCCCGTGCTCGCCCCGGGAGCGGCCACCCTTATCCGTTGCACCGACATCAGAGAGCTATTTCTTAATAACGGTCGGGGGAGATGATTATGCAATTATGTGAAAGTAAAACTCGATGAATTAGTAACGAGAGAGCGCGCGCCGAAGCTGCGGTATCCACGGTTTAGCGAATTGGGATGTATTTCCGAAACAGCAACTGAGTCTCACAGTGCGCCGATCTAATCGTATTTCATGATTATCGGATTATCGCGATGTATCTTGAGCGTACATAAGATGTATGTATGTTTACAGTCGGACATTGAATTAGACTCGTGCAGCGACATGATCTAAACTTTTCGCGCCGCGATGGTCAAAGTTGTTTTCGTTCGTACGAACAGTCGACGAGAAATTGTCGCATATTCCGCAAGAATTCCAATTCCTCGAATGATCCATAAAAGTTGTAGTAATGATCATTTCAATTGAGACATTTGGACGTTGTATCTGCCTCTCCGGACTATTTGTGCAGAGGACTGTACGTCACTACGGTCGATATACTATCACATCAAATGTATCGCACCACTCGCGACCGGGATCGATCCGAAAGGTACCGAGTGACAGTTGTCCCTCCGCCCTGTAGTCCAAGAACGTTATCCATCATCGCGAAGTTATAAAAGAAAATAATTATATCGAGAGCTTTCCTCCGGAGCTAAATTCGTAAATTGCATTAACATTAATTGACACGAGTCCCCTCTCCCGTCATTCCGCATGTGTGAGTCAAGTATTTAATAAACTTACCCGGACTTGGCCCGTTAGCACTACGATTGAATGTGTGTGATCGATCCTAATTGGATCCCGTGGCTTTAAATTGGTCTGTTCTCGGGCCGATACAACGTAGCTATGTCCGCGAAGAACAATGGGCTTAATTTAATAGAATACGGTCCGATGTGGTTTAGGTCCGATCGTCCACTGGTGCGAATCGATTTAAACGGCGCCCATGTAACTATAATCCAATAGTAGATTACACGTCCGGTACATACATTCGAACGTACGATGCTTTCCGCGAGCTAATAATTCACTGTCGCGCGTAATGTATCTCGCGCCGAACAAAGTGCGCACAATAAAACTAATATAGTAATATATCTCGCGGTGGTACTTCGCGGAATAATTCGCCCTCGGTACGGCCTGCCTTACGCTTGATTTCGCTCCTCGAGACGTGGCGTGTTTATCGCGGCGCTAGATATGATACACGACTCCGCTAAGGAAACGATATTTCGTTAATAAGTTCGCGCGACTTAATGAACTGAAAACGTTTACGATGCTATGCGACGTAAAACGGCTATGAATATCATAAACGTGACCGACTTGTGGAACATTTTTATTTTCCGCGGCACGTATTTGTTACGGAACGTAGATTGCGTATGAGCGTTTTATGTCCCACGAGCACGCTAGTATCTAAAGGGCGATATGGAATCTAAACTGCAACAAAATACTTGAAGGCGTCCACGCGGTTGCGTGTCCGCAACGGTCGGCGGGCGTGTGTCCGAGAATCTTAATCGGATAAACCGTGTAACTGATAAGCAGATGCACATAAGGTATATCTCGCGGCCGCGCGTGTGCGCACGGTGGGGCGGATGCGTGCGATAACGAAGAGATATGACGAAGATCGCGGAAGAGGGTGGAGGTCGGGCGTGCCGCGATGCAAAAGTGTCGCGCGACGAGTCGACCGAAATAATAATTAAAAAAAAAAGCATTTATACGTGCGCCGCGTGTGTCATTTAATAAACTCTCGCGTGGCTAACGCGATGGCGTGCCGTTTCCCCCGACATAAATTCCGCGGCGAGGAAAAGCGAGAACGCGGTAGAATGTGTGTCGCGAAATTGCGAATAATAGCGGCCCTCTCGCGTCCCGGAATCAAGCGCGCGGCCCTCTTTAAGCCGCGTGCTCTCTCGCTTCACGTGCGCGAGGAAAGTTGTAAAGAGCGTGCCGGGGAATGTGTAACAACTTGTCCAGAAAATAAATCACAAAATAATATCCCTCTGCGTCATATCAACCCATTTTTCACGCCGCCGCGCCGCAGCCAATTGAGATTTATGGTGCGAGAGTTTAGTGATTTTACATTGAAATCGCGAACGGAAGTAAACGCTCGGGGGAAGGTGACGCTCTTGCAATAGACGTCGGGGCCAGCTTACATATTTATTCGTATATATTTCTTTTCACGCATTTTGTAACAGCCTACGCATTTCGCATCGCGGGACAGAGAAAAACTAGCTAACGTGTGACGCTTTATAGCCCTTTAATTAATGAGCTTCGTTCGACGAAGTGAATCGCACACGCACGTCATGCACAGCGAGCTCACGTGACGGCCAAAGATGAAAAAAACTGCGCGTTCTAGCGCGAAAATGCTAATTACAACGGGGTTAATTGCACCGCTATTACGACATTAAAGTGCCGACGTGCCGTTGCTGTCACACACGGGTGTGCGTGCGTGCGCGTGTGCGCGGACCCGTCCAGAGGATTGCCCGCCGTTCGAATCGATACGCACGTTTATCGAGACCGTAAGTTTTGATTATGCTCGCGTGTCGGAATGTCATTACGTGTCACCCCTCGTACCCTTCTCGGCAAATCCTCAGCGTTAATACATTGAGCTTGGAACGTTTTCGCACACCCGTTTTGCCGCGCGCATATAGTACACGGGACGATCTAAAGTGTTCGGCTTTATTTACGTATTTTTGACCCTCTTGTACAGTAATGGGCACAATGGTTATGACACTTTTATTAGGTGACGTTCCAAAATCGTCTTCTCCGAGGCTTATTTACAGCCAACGGTACACGATACTATTTTTCCTACTGGATTCCTTACGAGAGCCAACCAGGATTCAGCTTTGAGTCACCTGATCGAAAACTCTGCGTCCTGATTGGCTCTCGTAAGCAATCCAGTAGGGAAAAATAGTATCGTGTGCCGTTGGCTTTACTCGATGGCTATTCCAAAACCATTTTGTTGCGTTTTCAACCTATTTCTAAACTCACTAAAAAAAAGTATCGCAACCATAGTATAACTAGTAGGTCCACTCTCTGTCGGCCCCTTTGATCTTTGCGGTCCCGCCACGCACTCGGGCTGGATCCAGCCAGGGGGTAACCACTAGCTAAAATGTTGTCCCACCGATTACACGATTTCATCTGATTACAAATAATCTCATCTAATTGCAAATAATTTTCTTTTATGCACGTTTAAAAAATATGTAACGTTGTTAAAGAACTGTTAAATTTCCTCAAGATATATTTTTCTTATTTTACTAAGAAGCATTTCACGCCGTGTGTACGTACGAATACCTACGATTGGTTTTACGTACATCGGGGGAGCAAGGGAGATTAGAATCATGACGTGATAAGTTTGGTAATCGCGATAATGGCACGTTGATAAAAGAGTTTATTCGTTTTCTGCTGACAAACAAGATGAACAAATGAGCTTTCTATGTGATCAATTTGATAAAATACTAGAAAGCTTCATACGTTTATACGTGTATGTACAAGTGCTGCAAAATTGATAGAAGCAGCGATTATTAATTTTATCAATATGAGGAATATTATATGACATATTTACCAGCGCCACAATAATTTTGATTAACTACAATTTAATGTAAACAATTTATGCGCGCGTGGTGTCTTCCTTTTATGAATAAATTAATCGCGGCTAATTAGAGATAGTGAAAGTCTTTTTAGGGCACTCTGTGTGTAAAGATATTCTTCATATAGTGTCAGTATATGTGTGAGTTTCACATCTATATACTGTTAAATTTCCGCGTCGACGTCTCTGGCGTATCCTTCATACGACTTGTTAGGTAATTTATTATTCATCCTAAACGTGATGCGAATAAATCGCTGTCCCATGAGAGTCGTCGACCGTGGTCTCGTAAAGAAAATGATTATTAGAGAGATACAAATTTCGCTCCAGAAACATTTCAGGAAAGTGCTTGCTACCCCTCGCGAAGATTAAGAGCATGACTTACAATTTTTCTTGTTGGTATTGTAAGGAACGGAGTGATTAATTAAGATGCTACGAATATATAGGTGGTATACAAATAAATAAATACGAGAATAGAAGTTGACGTAGATTTTTGCGCACAATGTACTTAATGTATCGCGAATTTTATCCGCAAACTTTGAATGATATCCGAGATACAGGTGTACAATGCAGCCTGTTTCGTAAGCTCAGATTCGCGACCGAGGATTCGTTAAGTCGGGCTTTCTTCGGGATATCGATCCTCGCGGGTGACGTGAAGAAAGTTAAATTTCTCAGAGGAGTGCCAGAAAACGCGAACGTCGGTCGGTCCCTAAGACGAAAGTATCGGAAGGGGGTTGCGTCGGTCCCTGGCGTACGAAGCCGGCGAAACGAGTTCAAAATCCTTTCTGCCGAGCGAAACTTGACGCGGGCCGGACAAGGAACGGACCGGTCGGCGCGACCAGCCGGAAAAGTTGAAATTATAAAAATTTCAGATTTCTGAGCGGTTGACACGTGACACGACGATTCATACTCAAACAGAGAAAATAAGAATCTCTCTTGGGAGTTCGCGCGACCGAGTTTCTCTCGTACTTCTCAGACGCCCGGAAATACGATACAAGAGCGAAATTTCGGGATAAAATAAACGTATTCTGTCTCGTCGACTTGATTTTACATTTTTTTTTGTTAACAAATTTTCATCCCTTGGAAATGTCTAATTGTCGTAATCTAAATGGGATTTCTATTTTCCTCCGTTGGAGCTTGCAAAATTTCCGCGAAGTTTGCAATAATCTTTTTGTTCTTTTTCTGATTTCTCATTATTTATATAGTAGTATGTTGCCCTGCTGACACATGACGTTTTTTTGCAGGACCTTCGTTTTGGGGCCTGATAAATCCGCAGTGGTCCCTCTGCAGCAAGGGAAGGCGGCAGAGTCCCATCAACATCGAACCGGACAAGTTGCTTTTCGATCGTCACTTGAGACCGGTGCACGTCGACAAACACAGGGTAATCTATTTAGTCTTTTAATCCGCGAAATTGCGAAGTGATTCGCGAACGGAACTTTTGCTGGCTCTTAGGACACGCAAGTGTCCAATAAAGTATCTCGTGGGGAAGTTGCAATTTAAAGTCTTATTTTTTTTTTAGAAATTCGGTACATTTCACCAATGCCAATACTGCGCCGATACTTAATTAACATACGAAATTAATTAGCAGTAACGTGCAAAATTAATTAGTACATGACTCACCGTAAAACCTATTCTAATTTCACATATGCGCGTCTGCCGCGTTAATTTCGATTGTAGATGCTTCGGTAAATTTACATTAGATATTTCCACATCATTTACCGTAGTTCGCCAATTTCCGGCAAATTAAGATTTAACGCGACAACATCGGGTGCCCTGTATATCATTGTGCGTTCGAGTATGATCCCGGCGAGAAGGGTGCTTAGAAGTAAATCCCGAAGTTCCCGGTCTCGTCCCATGTGCACGTCCACTTCAAATGAAGACGAAAGAGTCGTCTGATGGACGCTCGTTAGTCAAGCGGAGTACATACTGGGTATCCCTCGGCGGGATGATTAAATTGCTCGGATTTTTGCGTTTGGCGGACGGATAATCAGAGATACCTCTCATTGATATTAATGATTTCCAAACGCGCCCACTCATTATGACTCATGATGCATTGTTTACTCCGGCTACGTTTAAATATGTTGACTATCGCGTGTAATTACGCGTCACGCACTATTATGCGTATTGCAATCGAGCTGCTCTCGTCGCAAGATCGGCATAAAGAGCCGCGTGTTATAATTAAAACAAGTCAGAATAAAATTATAACTGTATGATAATTATTTTAATTATTTGAAGCCCGGCGCACATTATCTCAAATAAAATGAAATATAAATGGTATCGCGGCTAGAAAAATAAATGCAGTACACGTTAATGAAATTTCATAATTACACAATGCAACTCGATTCACGTACTGAATAAATATATGATTCTGTTTAACGTTAAATATAACAGCAATTTTCATTTTACATAATTGCATAGCGTTCATTGTAATATTTACGCTAAAATTTCATATTTACCAAAATTCTTATTTTGTGAAATGCAGGCGTACAATTACATTATATGTGGTGTAGCTCCGCAGTGCATCATGTGAAACGGGTACAAATGCAATATGATATTTTTTAACTCTTAGTCACGGGTATCGACGGATTTAAAATCGAGCCATTGCGTAAACTCGGTAAAAATTTGCATCGAGTTATTAAGCCGATATTTCAGTCACTATTAACACTGGAACTAAATTAAAATTAGAACGTCGAGAATGATTCATTTGCTGCGAAACACACTTTCGGAAAGCAAGGATAAAATCAGGTTGGTTACCGTAAAAGTATTCCCAGAGCTGTCGCGTGATAGTAATGGATTTCGAATTCACCGGCGAGAGCTGCTCCACTTTCTCGCTGTCCATTTTTCACTGGCCGAGTTCGTTGATTCGATAATAAAGCCATTAATTACGAGGCCACCTATTTAACGCTGATTTCCGCCCCATCAGTGAGGATACTCCGAAGAGCCTTCGGGAACGTTAATTTTCCATTAAGAAAACATTTATTCATCATACCACTCGTCTACTCGATGCCGTTCGAATCGGCTCGATTCGTTGGTGGTGGTAACTTTTAATAATAATTTTCCTGCGGAATGCAAACATGCGGACATGAAAGTTTTAGAAAACGAGATGAACAAAGTGACGCGTTTAAGGAAAGCGCGCTTGTTACCGCGAGTTATTTTTATTAGGGGCAATATAGTTCTTACAACCACCATATTCGTTATTTTGAATTTTCGCCTATCTGCATGTACAAGTGACTCATGCATGTAGTATGAGCGCATTGAAGAATATATTGAGGGGTCGAAAGCCGTTTATAAATGCATGAACGAAAAGTCTCTGTGAACTTTCGATATAGAAGAAGTATGAACTTTCGATAGTAGAATGGAGGAACTTGTAACGCGCGCGTTGCTCGATTTACATTTCCATTTATATTCTCATTCATATCTTTTTGCTTTTGAGATACAACTCTATAATTCGAATTTTACAGAGAGAATAAAAAAAAAAGTTGTTGAACGTATACATGAATGGATTGTGGAGATTCGAGAAAAGAGAGGAAAAAACTGGAACGCGCAATAATATTTGCTTAAAACAGCACTTTATTATATTCGTGTAAAAATTACGCATGCTATTTTTTTTATGTTACTTCTTTCAAACGGCTCTACGGCTTTCTTTACAAAGTCATACGTATTCCGCGAGGGGGAAACCGCCGACCAAAATCCCGCACAGCAACGCCCACCAATGCCCAGTGGGCATTGCTCCATCTTATCATCTTATTGTATCTTATTTATCTTGTTTTATCTTACTTTATCTTATTTCATCTTATTTTACCTTATTTGCCCCAAAAATGCCTAGTAATGCCCAGTAATGCCCCCAGTGGTTTTTCCCCCTCGGTATTCCGTATGAAACAAAGTTCTTCGAGAAGCGGACATTTTAATAACAAAATTCATAATCTAGTATTTTCTTTCGCTGTCGTGAGTTTTCTCATTATGGCCTGCATCTCGATCAGTTTACGTGCTCCGTCATATTTTTTTTTGGTTCAATTCTGTCGATCTGTGTACTACGTAACGCTCCCACTGAGATATTTCTATCGCGGCACCGAGGCGTTATATGGTCACCTCTTTCCTCTCGTGTTCAATGCTCCCACCATTTTCCACGGGACATGCACCGCGCTGGCATGGGTCGCGGTCTCGGGGCGTTATTCCTCAGAAAAGCGAACATGAAAAATGCCCGAGTACCGTGACAATGCCTTCTCTCGGATATGGCATTGGATACGGGTTTCGCAGACGGATACGAGCCCTGCCGCCGTATTTCGTCCGTCTTCCCATGCGAGACGCTGACCGAAAACGCCCGCGCGACGATATTGCCCGCGAAGGGATACAATAAATACGGGGCGATCGTGACAATAACTCTTTTGTACCAGATGCAAGCGACCAGAACTGGCTCGCGACGAAGATATTATTGCGACGTCGGTATCTCTCAGTGTTGACTTCTTTTATCGCCTCCCGTTGCATCTCCGTGCGAGGCAAAAACGCGCCTGCATCTTCTTTATCGCTTCAATAAATGTCGCCTAAAGTGTAATGATAAATATAAAATGTTCCGTTGCGCGTAAAACGACGCTGCTTAATATAAAATTTGCGGAGGACGGGCTCGACGATAGATATATTTGCGTGAACTGACGAATTTCGTGAAACTCGGGAAAACTTTTCCACTTCCCATTTCCTTGGCTTCGCTTTCACATCATTCTACGCGTTCCGCCTATTCCTCGGCGACTTCACCAACGTTCTGGCTTACTCGCACGTACTGTGCGTTATTCAGTGCAACCAGCTATTTGTCCACCCACCCTATCCGCGGAAGTCGTAGGTATGATATCTATTTCGCTTCCTGTTCCTGTTTCCTCCCGTTCACGGAAGAGAAGAGAAAGGGAGAAAAGTGCGCATTCTTCGACTTCGCCGAGCGTAGACGGGGACCACAAAGTGTCTTCCGCGGAAATTCACGTGAAAAGGTTTAAACGCGCTCCCGAGGTATCGTTTGCCCCGTCGTCCTCGTTCTCGTCGTCGTCGTCTCGTCGCTTCTTTCTCACCCTGCGATCTCGTTTCCATTGCTCCTTTCGCTACCGCCCTCATCGTGGAGTCAATCTTTTCCACGTCGCCGTCAGTAGCCGCGTTCTCACGAGCTACATCGTCACCGGATGCATTCCACCGCGCTTTGAAACCAGCCACGAACGGGACTCCTCATTGTTTGCCTACCCTCCAGCAAGCGGCTTCCTCCCTTCGTGCGCGTGCGATGGGAAGCGCTAAAGAGAGTTCTCTCAAGTATCCTCCTGCCTCTTGCCGCGCTGTTAACTGCGTCGACGCTACGCCGACTCTCGCCTCTTTCATTGAAACAAGCGGCGTGAAACCGCCGCGAAATCACACGTGGCGGCAAACATGCGAGGCGCAAAGTTTTTCGAAAGTTTCATTACAAGCAGGAATCAAGGGATCGTAGAAAAAGAATTGAATTAACAGCGAAATAAAAAAGATGGAAATTAAAGTCGAAGAAATAGAGAAATGTACACATTTCTTTTTCTTTTGCTCCCAAAGAGAATATGCGAACCTTTCAGCTTCTCGCGAGAATGAGATGCAAGCTCGACCCTCGATTTGTCGAAAGCGCGCGGAGGGGCGAGACGAAACTGGCTCCGTGCGACGGAAACCGCACTGACGTCACACCTGGTCCCGCCTGGTCCTGCTATTTAAACGCGGTCTCGGGCCGTTTCATAGCCGACGCCAACCGACCAACCGACCGACCGACCGACCCACGTTGGTACGACGAAGTCGTACGAGACCGGGGGAGGGGACCTCGTGAATTTATACGTCGTTTAACCCGGTTAAAACTTTGGCACTTAAATTAAACAATAGAACGAACCGCGCACCCCGGCACCTCCCGGAGTCGAACGTACGTCTTCGGCTCAGTGGAGCCTGCTCCAGCCGTTTCATCTCTCCCTTCCTTTCCCTCTCTCTTTCTCCCGGAGCCCGTTCGTGCGGCCAGTCCGCCCACGAAAACGTCTATAGATCCGTTTCACGGTACGGTAGCAGATGTAGATACGGCAGATACCATAATTTTGCTATAGAAACTCACGTTTCCAGCGAAACCTAATTCTCCTCGGTCCATTTCTATCCGGCTCTCCTCGCCATTGTCTCGTCTGCTGCAATTCGGTAATTTCGTAAAAAGAGTCTTGCGATTTCATTACCGATGTTTTATTCTAAAGTCGTGGAATGTTAGATTTGTGTTTAACGCGACGTATTAAAATATACAGACGAATTCTATGCTTGTTTGAAGCATGCACGCATTTCATAATTATTAATTGATTTTACGACAGTAGAGATCAGCTGATCGACTCGTGACTCTCTAAAAATCAATCAGTGGCTATTCACTGTTTTCAGTGACAATTCACTGATTGATGTTCCGAGAGGATGTTGTTCAAATTGAAGCTACGTACTTGTAATTATAATGAAGAAGCTCTAATGAACGTTTTAAAAGTAATGTACAAAGTAGCGGAATCTCGAAATTTTGTAAAGTAAGATTGAGCCATTCTGTGTATCGACGCTACTTACCCGGGCCGTTGTAATTTTATTGCAACAAGTGATCGAGTAGATTTCGGTCGGAACGGCATCGGGCCTTTACGAGCTACTTCTATCTCTGGCGCACACTAAAGCCACCGCTAACGGCCCGTCGATACCACAGTACGTTTCTTCGCACGAACAATTCCCTCGCGAAACCGGCGAATTGTATGTGTATACCCCGGGCTCGCCATAATCGAAGCTGTAACGAGCGCGTTCTCTTACGTCGCGCCGAAATTGCCAATTCCCGGACGTGCCTCTGCGGCCGGCGCGCCATAATTGAAGCGGCACGTTTCGATAAACTCGATCGTAGAACGGTGTAAGAAACTGTCGCGGCGCATGAGACGACGTTAACCGTCCTATAAACAGAGCGGACCGTTGGTTAACCGTGCGGGAGAGGGGCACGCGAGCGAGAGAGCTTTTCGCATTCCGGGTACAGGGGCAAACGTACGTGAGCCGCGTGCGGGGAGCGATCCCGGTGCTCGCTCGATTCGTGTTAATTACCGGACAACGTTGGACTTCGTAACTGGCTTTCGGAGGTCTTTCGTGGCGTTTCCGCTAATCCTCCGACCGCCTTGATTCCCGTTTCACGCGAGAGCTTGATTCTGCTGGTTGTACGAATCCTGCTAGTTCGTCTGCGATCGGGGGGGCCCTATCGTTTCTTTTTTCACTGCTAGTCTGACCAGGTCTGGTCGTTACCACCGTGACCTCCGATCTCGAGTGGAGACGATATTGGGAGAGTCAGATATAATGTCAGCTCGCGTATTATGCGACTAAATCCATTTTTCATAGTCTCCGAATTCCCCCGGAGCGTAATCGCGGAATTGCAGTATGGAAAACGGATTTAGCGAGTTTCGGCAATCTCGTAAACACTCCACGAGAACCAGACTTTACATCGGGAGTCTGGCGCGCTCTTAACTAAGCACTCCCCGACCCAACCCCTGGCTGTGAAACTCGATTATTCTCACGACTTCTCCCGACCGGCATTCCCATTACCCGAAAAAGGAAGTCGTCGGTGGGACCGGTATTAATCGTGAAACATCGCCGCGCCGCGAAGTCGATGAACTTTAAGAAGATTTGGCGCCACGCGCTTCTTATATCTCGACGTCTCTCCTCCTTTCCGCCGCCGTTTCCCAACACCGCTCGTGAATTCTGCAGCCTCTGTGGGAACAAAATGGGAGTGGGTTCTACGGCAGCCGGCCAGAATGCGCAATGGCGATTGTCCGGACCGAGGCGGGCCGACTTTGTGGAACGACCTGCAAGAGGGAAAGCTCGCAAGATTGGGGCGTAAGGATGGAAGATGATCCACCCCCGGCCCCGAACTTTGAGTTTTGTCGAAAGAAGAGCGGCTTTTGTGCGCCCATTCGAGATCGCGCGGAACTCCCGTGTTCCGCTGTGAGTCTTCCTTCCGGTCTCTCGCCGAGTCGCCTCCATTGATCCAAGTTCGGAGACGCTGGTACCAGAGAAAAAGGAACTCGAGCGGACGAATTATTCCCGGCGACCGGAGGGGTGGAAATCTATCGCGAAATAATGAGTTATGCGCCATTGACTTTCCTCTACGCGTCGGGGGAAAGTCGCCGCGCCGCCTGTTCGCGTTCATTTCTCTCTGTCATCGTGAGGTGAGCTGCCGCTCTCCCATATCTTAATGAATTCGGGAGGAAACAGCGACGAGGGGTCTTCGAAGTGAGCGATCGATGCGGGATCGCTTAAATTTAGAGAAGATTATGCGCCGATTGGAATTTTCGCATCGCGACAAATTACCCTCATTTTTCGCATATAAACGACTTGTTATTTTATCGAATTTTTAAAAAAATGTTTTTACACGTGACCAACTATTGACTTCAGCTCTTGCAAAACTCATCTCTTATTGAGCTCATGAGAAATTGCGTCTCAAAAAGATTCTATATTAATACAGTAAGTTGGGCGAGAGAGAAGCGTTGCTCGCAGAAGACGGGGAGGTACGGAGCACGGAAAGGAGGTCAGAGGGGCCAAAAATCTATTGCAAAATAATAAGTTATCTCCCGACGACTTTTGCCGACGTGTCTTCCGCGGCTGGCTTCTCCCCGAGGTTACCTCATTATTTCTAACTGATGACGCCATAATTCAGGTTCTCGGCGACGTACAAGAAAATGGACTTCTCCGGCCTCGTCTTGCACTTTGCCGAGCTCCTGTGCGACATGGCACCGTGTCTGGTTTTGCTATTCCATCCAATTAAATGCCTAATCAATTATCCCGCGGACGACGAGTTGCCGCCCTTTCTTGTAGACATCTTTGCAACCACGCTCTTATGCAGCTCATTACGATAAGGCATGCGAATCTCTTATTGTTTGCGAACCTCGTTCTAAAGTGTATCGAATTAGTTTGAAATACCCCGCATTACTACCGACAAAGGTACGGTTTACGAATAAAAAGATGAATTCGTATCGGATACGAAGTAATACCGATACGTGATCACAATTTATACATTCGACGGCTCTTATCGTTTTTTAAATATCAAACATTAAATTCAAATATTAAACTGTATTACTTCCTGATTTAACTCTTCCGATCATATCTATTACAGCGTAAATATTTTTATCATTAGCATTGTTACTCGAGAGGAATACATTTTGCCGCACGGTGAATTTTCTTTCTATTTTCAGTATTAATCAATTAATACAATTAGATCGCTGTCCGAATGAATCTACTTAATTGCATTCTGTTCACCAGGTTTATTATTAGATAGTACTAACTTCAATCAATTTTGCTTTCAGATTTCCGGACACTTACATAATACCGGGCAATTCCTGGTATTTAGAGCAGACAGGGAGGCGAAGATACGGGTCAATATAACGGGTGGTCCACTCGCCTATCACTACCAGTTTGAGGAAATATATATTCACTATGGAATGGACGACGGTCATGGTTCCGAGCATCGTATTAATAATTATGCTTTTCCCGCAGAAGTGAGTAGCACGTGCAATATAAAAAATATTCTTAAAAAGATTCCGACTATCGTACTTGAAATAATAGCACTCAGTTATATCGCGCGCCCAATAAACTCGTAAAGTCTACATTTTAATGAAAGTGCGAAGTAGGCGCAAAATTAAGTATATTAATTAATTTTAATAGGAGAAGGAACGTGCGCTTCAATTTGTAAACAGCGTTTCTTCAATTTTTTAATTCGACGTAAAACAGAAAATTGAATGACTTACTATAGCAATCTCAGAGATGTCCATTACATTTATCGTAAAGCCGAATGCATTGGTCATTCCTTTCGTTAATCCTATGGGGAAGGGATTAAAGAGGCTAATAAGGGAAAGAGAAACCATTTCCGGATTGCCAGCTAATTGAATCGCAGATTTGTGATACCTATTTAAAAGTGCTTGCATTTTTTAACGGATAGATGCCATTTGCAAGGAGGGAATCTATTTCGGAGATCAGTTCGAATGTTAATTATAAATCGATGCACTTTTCCACGTCCATATCGCTCGTAACGAATTCTCTTTTCCTTTGGAGAAGTCTACAGTATAGAGCTGCGCTGCAATAGTGATTGATTCTGGAATTAAAATACGAAAGCGTTTCAAGTAATCGTTACATCGAAACAACTGAGTGCTAATTTGTGCCTCAAAACGTTTCACAATTGATTCTCAAATCGGTATCGTTACATTTGCGATAATGAAAAATTCAATATCGTAATTAACATTTATCTGGTTCTGGTGAATCAACTATTGAAACGGCTGATTCCGAAGTTAATGTACATTGTACATTTCAATTCGATGCATTTTTCACGTTGCCGTGAATAAAAAATTTTCTCGCTTAAAATTCAATACGTTAATTTGCACAAGAGACGTAAGTACATTTTGCGACAGGGCTGGTAGAGGGTTGAAAAAATGGTTAAAATTTGAAAGACATTAAATATTTGTAAGTTGGCGCAACTGTCCGCGTAATTAATTAATTATAGTTCTACGCGGTTCTACAAGTAAAACGATACTTACTACTGCTATCCCAGGGTTTTCGGTTACGGCAACCACAAACGCGCGGTACAGACAATCATGAAATTCTAATCACGCCATTATCCTAGCAATCGCTTTACAAAGCGACAAATAATTAGAATTATCATGTAATTTGCAGTTTGCCAATTAATTATAACCGCAATGCAGTCGGCGACCGCGTCTGTGACACGGCGCTCACGGACCTCTCGTAAAACTCTACATATTGGCGTACGTGATTTTATTCGCGAATGAACTATACATAGAATCATTGCTGTAAAATGAGAGCGGAGGATGACCCGGGAATGACGATATAATTAATTGAAATTAATTACGTGCCGGCATCGTAACGAGACAAATTAAACATTCGATAAACGGGACATGACGGCGGCCCAATTAACTGTGACCCGTTTATTTCTCTCAGAAGCAATCCATGCATCCTCTCCCCTGCCCCCTCTGTGCAATCCAATTTTCTTAAATCCACAAAATGATGTCGCGATCAGCCGTCGCTGATAAACTACTCAATTGTAAAGAGCGATCGATGAATGGCTTTGCTGTTATTTTTGCCTTTGGCCGCGACGATATATTATATTTTAATATTCTGTCGATTTCTCCAGACAATTGTCACAAAGGTGATTGTAGAAGATTTATTTGAAAACTTATAAAGTCCGCTTTGTGAAAAAATTTATATACGAAGAAAATAGGTGAAAAAAATAAGAGCGACGCGATATTCTTTGAAAGATAAATTGCAATGGAAAAATTCGCAGGGGGATGCAGCCGAACGGATTCCATACGAGCGGTATTACCAAGTCTGCTAAAAAATTAAACTTCCGAAAGCGCGCGAGCGCGGTTGAATCGGCGGAAATGCAATATCGATTAGTACTTCTCGTAAATACAGGTCGAAGGATACTTCTCCATCCTTTTTTCTTAATGACTAAAAAGGGCAGATTAATGAATCCGCGCAACCAGAGGTAATTATCGAGAATCGATAATCAAGAAGTCTAAATACATTTGTAGAATGTCGAATCGATGATACGACTAACACGGATTTCTCATTTATTAAAACTCGGTGTACGTAAAATTCAATATGCCAATAATAACCAACTTCCCGGTCGCAAATCCCCTCAGACGGTAATGAGTTACAAGCATTGATGATAATTTAATTCGAATATTGCAAATACTGTTAAATAAACGAGCTACTAAGTCGTAATAAGGCTCTTACAGCTTACTACATTTTTAAAAAGCAATTAAAACTTATTTATTCATCTACGTGTTAATTATTTTCTTAATTTTACATATAAATTAATTAGAGTATAATTTTTTTTCACACGTTAAGATGGCACCTCCTTAAACCGACAAGAAGTAGAAAAAATTAAAACTTAAGTATGCTGTAGTTGTCAATTTCATCTATCGCTACGTGAAATTTCAGGTCGACGATGAAATAAAATAAAGAAAAAAATGTTAAAGTTGCATTTTCTAACATTCCAGTAAACACCAAGTGACAATTACATAATATCAATATTATAATTTGCTACTTAACAAGACAAATGTAATATAACACCCATGTTATATTACATTTCAATTGTTAAGTTGGAAATTATAATATTGATATTATGTAACTATTACTTGGTGTTCACTGTAGGGGTTATGGGCCGATCGCTCGTAGAAGCACGAGATGAACATAATAAATGTCACAAGGATTCAAATGTGCTATTAAGTACATGGGGTCACTGACCTCTGCAAGCAAATACTTATTAGTAAAGACAAAAGATACAGTGTTTTGAGGATTTTGAGGAGAAATTTGACAGCTCTTTGAGACTTGACAGTATCACATTTTTAAAAATATGTTTTTAAATGTGCATATATAATCCAGCATACCAATGCATTTGACCAATAATGCATTCAGTGATATTTTTTAATGAGAAAAGTCATATGAATTTATAAAAATCAAAGGCGCCCCACCAAAGCATCTATACTAATCGCTCCTTCGTGCAGGAGCCACCTCAAAGAGATTAATTTTATCAAACAGTTTACAATTGTTATTTTCTGCCTTTTGTTTTCGAACAAAATCAACGTATAGTTAATCGAGCATACGGTCAGAAAGGTTGTCCGACTTTTTACAATAGGCTTTCGGAATACTCGCTTGTATCATTCCATGGATATGCGTACATATTATTCCTTTGCTCCGATAATGCGTCGCTGCACGTATCGGTGAGCAAAAGCTACCATCTCTCGCATGATAGACTGCATTTTCGAAATTTATCATAAAACGTCGGGCATCCTTTCTGACCACGACTGTACAACACAGTCGCTAATAAATCTAGAATTAATTGCATTTACTGCTTTAACGATTGAGTCGGTTTAAAAGCGGAAGTACAATATTGCCTAATGTTTTATATAGAGTTCAATTTGCAGAAAAAAAAATCCTAAAAATAGTTCCCTTCTATACATACGCAAAAGCACGATAAATAAAATAAAATACAAACAAAAGTAATAATGGAATAGCTTTATATAAATATGACGTTGCGACATAAACCGTTATTCGATATTTTCAAAAGAAAATGTTTTTCTAACATTGTTTATTGTTAGCAAAATAACATTACGGAGGAATAATTTTTCTAACTTTCCGAGCTATTTTGTAACATCGATAAAGCTATCTTTATTTAGAGATAAAACCTATTTCTCCGATTCGTTTCAAAAGCATGATATATAAGATGTTCGAGGAAAATTCAGGGAATATCGATCTCGTATATTCTTCCGGATGTGTGCGTGTGATATCAGGCGCGATACGCGAATGGAGGAATGTTGAATACCATCCTGCTCAAGACACGAGGAATTTAGATATGCAGTTTCGAGTTTTAGGAGTATATTTTTATTTCGACGTGCACGGGCATCCGAATACATAGTTTCCGTCTTGATGCGCGGAGCATAGGTTTTTCAACAAATCGCGCGTCGATGAGAAAGTTCGCGTTGAAAAAAGGGATACGTACGTGTACATCGCAATTTTTTTGGCTCCTTTTTCTTGCCTATTAAAATTCGATACGCCGTGATTTAGTACGCTGGATTGAGAGAAGGGTTACGCGCGCATTGCTGTTTCGCAAGATACCAGGAAAAGCGTCAAATACGGCCGGCCATTATATCCTTGCGTCCACAGTGAGAAACGGGCTTTCAATGGCGTCGTGAATCAAAGCCAGTCATCTACCATCGCACGGTCTGCCACCCCCCTCATCTAGCTTACGTCGCTTCTCTACATAGAACACACAGACTACGCGCGAACATATGTGAATTAATTTGGTTGCAAGAAGGGCAAATCTGGCGCACTTTTCCGCTTGCCGAGTCAATCTTAACTTAAGAAGGGCGCTAAGTCAAAGGATAAAACATCGAGCTTAAAATCTGAGGGGTTTATTTTAATATTTAATATTTAATATTTATACAAAGGAACGAGGGGGCTTCTCTTGGCGAAGAGAAATCTTTTCTCATTGCACGTAAATTCCCTTAAAGCTATCTCAAGTGTCAAATACGAGATGTCTTTAATTAGTAAGACATTCATCGGACGCTCGAGGACTGTGCCGAATTTTAGGAGGCTATGAGATAGTCAAGGACGGTGCAAATGTTTGGTAGATGTAACACATGATAATCGCGCCGCATATAGTCAATAAAGAGAGCATAACATGTTTATTGATCATTAATTCAGTACTCTCGGCGGGGAGAGCAAACACAATTACATTCGGCACCGGTACACACGGTGCATTATGCTAGGTGTACCATATAATGCCGTGCATTCAATGGACGCTTGTGTGTTTGATGACAAAAGTTATTCGCTCAATTTAGAAAGAGATCGCTTTCATTGAAAGCACACCATACGCGCATGAATCGCAGCTGCAAAATTAAATGTCAAAACGCGGCCCTTGATCGCTCGTGCGATTATAAAATCGAAATTTTTGACACAATTCATAACGCGCCGACGTAAAAAG